CACACAATATTAATTATATATGAATATTTTGAGAATAATAGTTTTTCTCACTTACTAAAGCTTAAAAAAAAAAATCTCGTTTCTAACAATAATTGTCCATATACTATTTTTTAATGAAAAGTGCCAAATGACTAGAAAATTTAGCCAGAAAATTAAAATAAAATTACAATATTTTTTTTATTTTAAAATAAACTGATCTTTTTTCCATTTTTTAGTTAAAACGTATTAAAGTTAAAAGGATAAAAATATTTAAAAATGTAAAATAACATAGATAAAATAACATTCTGGCCAAAAAGATTTTTCCTTTTCCAATAATAATTGTTCACTTCATGAAACTAATTGATAATTTTACAATTAGTTCCTAATTTACCCTTATCATTAATTATTATCATTTCTCTATTACATTTTCAAGACATTGTATTTATTATATTCAAAGCGTGAAATATTCCCTCGTCCAACAATAGTTGTTCAACAATGCTTGTCCAATTTAAAAAATCAAGAGATAATTTACCTTCTCTGTCTATTTTACCCTTATTATTAAATTATTTATCGTCCAACACCTTTTTCAAAGCATTAAATATAATAAAGTCAATGGATAATATAGTAATGTTACCCCTATTATTTATTGTTTCTTAATGGAGTGTGTCAAGTAAGGGTGTGCATTTGGTTTTTTGGTTTGTATTTTTCGGTTTTTGGTTTTGAAGAAGTGTAACCCAATCCGAACCAAAATAAATTTGGTTTGGTTTGGTTTTTTCTCTTTTTGGTTTGAGTTTTTTTCGATTTGGTTCATCGGTTATATCAATAATTAGAAACATAACAAAATTATATATTGAATTTCTTAAATATACTTTTTAATATAAATCACAAGTAAAACGTAAAACACAAATACTTAAAAGTATATCAATTATAGATGTCCAAACATAAAAAAAAATAAAAATTAAATCATAAAGAAGATAACTAAAAAGGGACAAAATTGGTTAACTCCAACTTAATTCTAAACATACAATATATATATATATATATATATAATTCGGGTTTTTTCAGTTTTTCGATTTTCATTTTCTAAATTCGAAATCAAACCAAAAAACCAAACAAAGTAAATTATAGATCCAAAACCAAACCAAAAATCCAAAAAACTAATCCAAATTAGAATTCGGTTTGATTTGATTTGGTTTCTCGGTTTAATCCAAATAGTGCACACCCCTAGACTGTCAAGCCAATGGTGAACAACTATTGTCAGACAGAGGGAGCAGTAAGATTATCCTTCTATTAATAATTTCTCAAGAAGTGTGCAAAGTTAATAGTGAATAACTATTGTTGGACAAATGTAATATTTGTCATTTCACAAAATCAATGCATATATGACACCATTCTTCTTATTTTACCCCTGAAAATTATTAGTCTTGAAACTATGAATGTGACCAACATAGGTAAACTAAATGATTAATTCATGTTCATTGGTCAATTTAATTAATTAAAATATATTAATTTATGCTCATTTATTGAAAATTTGACTTCAATAGAATACTAAATATAGGTATAATGGTAAGGGAAGTAGAATCTAAAATGATGACATATAAATAGACACGGAGGAAATAGAAAATAATGTTCAAGAAATTTTTTTTTCTTCGCAACACATCCTAATTGTACTTTGCCATATATTATAAGAACTAAAATTATACTTTACTGTTAATAGGGGATTAAAAGTGCTGCTTCCCCTATCTTATATTTTGGCCAATTTTTAAATTATACTAATTATTTTTAAACTATAAAGTAATAATACAAAATTAATATAATATATTAAATAAATAATATAATAATTAATAATTTGTTAATTTTATATAAAAAATCATGGATAAAAAATGTAGATTTAATTAATAAAAAATAAATATATTTAATCAAATATCATGTAAATTAAAATTTATTAATAATTAGACCGTCAAAAATATTATTATTTCAAATTTTGTTAAAATAACCACGCCAACTAAACTATTCACACATACATTTTCTTAACGTAATGTATGTTAAATTATAGACATGGTTTTATTTACCATAACTTATAGGGCCATTTCGATATGTACCCGCACAACGAATTCCTGCGGTAAATAAAATTCTGACCAATCGAACATCAGTAAATTAAGGCTTTTAGTTAACTCAAAAATTTTTTTTGATCATTGTCAATCTTAAAAATCTGATTTCAATATCAAAATGGATGAAAATCTTCATTCTTATCACTGATTAAAAAAGTGTTGGAAAAATAAATTTTTGAATGTCTTTAACGTCAAATAAATAATCAATAATATTACTAGAACTATGTGTTGAATGTTATCATCTAGCCATTTGAGAGTAGTTTGTAGAAAGAGGGAAGAAGAAAGGGGAATATAACAGTGAATTGATTTAACCGACTTAGTTCATCATACACAATGAGTCACTATTTATATACAATGTCTAACTAATCAACAATAATTAATCAACCTCTAACTTACTTAACAAACTCACTAACCAGCTAATTATTTACAATACTTATTTTAACACTCCTCCTCAAGTTGGGTGATGGAATATGTCTAGCATTCCCAACTTGAACAACATATCATTATGTAGTTGTTTTCCAAGTGCTTTGGTGAAGATATCTGCCATCTGCTCCTTGCTTGCCACATATTTTGTCTTGATCATGCCTTCTTGTAACCTGTCTCTAATAAACTGATAATCTATCTCTATGTGCTTTGTACGTTCATGATACATGAGATTGGAGGCAATTTGCATTGCAGCTTTATTGTCACAGTGCAGTTCCATAGGTAATTCAACTTGTGTTCCAAGTTCCTGCAGTAAACCTTGCAGCCAAACCAGTTCTGCCACTGTTGTTGCCATACTCCTGTACTCTGCCTCTGCTGAGCTTCTTGAAACTGTGCTTTGTGTTTTTGATTTCCATGATATCAGAGAGTCACCAAGTTTGATCCCAAAACCTGTCACTGATTTTCTAGACAACAAACATGATGCCCAGTCTGCATCACAAAAAGCATTGATCATTCCTGATTTCTTACTGCTCATCAACAATCCCAAACCAGGCTGATTTTTAATGTATCTCACCACATGTAATGTTGCATCATAATGTGATTTTTTAGGAGTATGCATGAATTGACTTAGATGTTGTACATCAAAGGAAATATCAGGCTTTGTCATAGCTAGATACAATAATTTCCCAATTAGCCTTTGATACACTCTTCTATCCTCTAATTCTTCATCATCTGTAATGTTGAAACAATGATCATATTCCTGACTTGTGAGTTTCTGATTTTGTTCAAGAGGAGTTGTGGTTCCTTTTCCTCCAGCTAGACCACATTCTGACACCAATTCTAAAGCATATCTCCTTTGATTCATCAATATTCCACTCTTGGATCTTGCAAACTCAATGCCAATGAAGTACCTTAACTGTCCTAAGTCTTTTATTTTGAAGTTATGATGCAAAGTATCTTTGGCCTCTTGAATCAATCCCTCATCATTTCCAATGATCAAAATAACATCTATTTTTGTAAATAATAAATAGTCTAATTTACTTTGAGTAAAGCCTGATTGTGTAAGTGCAGTGGTGAGTTTCAAATTCCACTGTCTGCTGGCTTGCTTCAAGCCATATAATGATTTAAGCAGCCTGTAAACCTTAGTCTCCCTCTGGCTGCCGAAACCAGGTGGTAGAGTCATATAAACTTCTTCAAAGAGGTCATCTTGGAGGAAGGCATTGTATACATCCATCTGTAAAGGAGACCAATTAAACTGAGCAGCTAAGGCAATGACGCATCTTACAGTCACCATTTTTACAACATGAGAGAATGTATCATGATAATCAAGTCCCTCTTGTTGGGTGAAGCCTTTAGCCACAAGTCTGGCCTTGAGCCTTTCGACACTCCCATCAGCCTTGTACTTAACTTTGTACACCCATTTACATCCAATAGGAGTCTTACCTGCAGGCAAATCAACAATCTCCCAAGTATGGTTATCACCGAGAGCTTGAATTTCTTGGTCCATAGCCTAGATCCAACCACTATGTTGGGCAGCTTAATCAAAAGAGGAAGGCTCAGAAACAAAAGAAGAAAAAGTTGAAAGATAAGATTGATATGAAGAGTTGACAGTTGTATATGAAATAGAAGATGAAATGGGATAAGGAGTTGTGGAGGTGATGGCATAATCAATGTGCCATATAGGAGGTTTACTGATCTAGATGACCTTCTCTTAGGAATTACATGAGGAGAAATGGAAGTAGAAGGAGCAGGAACTGTATCAGGTAATAAGGAAGGTGAGGAATGTGGTGAAGAACTGGTGGAAGTAGTAGATGAAGCAGGAGAGGGGAAGCAATCATCAGTGAGATGTGGAAAAGCAGACTGTGAAGGAGGAAAGAAATAGGTATAAGATGGAGGAGCAGAATCCAAAAATGTGTATTTAGGATGTTTGAAGGGAAAAATAGATTCCCTGAAAGAAACATCCCTACTGACAAAAAAAGAACCTGAAGCAATGTTATATAGTTTTAACCTTTCTGAGTGTCAGAGTAACCCATGAACACAGATGGAATGGCTTTGGGAGAGAATTTATCTGACGGACCTGTGTTTGTGGCATAACAAAGGCAGTCAAACACTTTCAAATGATTGATGAGGGGAACTTTTTTGTGAAAGAGTTCATAAGGTGATTTGCCCCCGAAAATAGAAGAGGAAAGTCGATTGATGAGAAAGGTGGTTGTAAGTACACATTCTCCCCAAAACTTTAAGGGCACATGAGCCTGAAATCTGAGGGCTCGGGCTATCTCAAGGAGATGTCTGTGCTTTCTCTCAGCAATGCCATATTGCTGAGGAGTATGGACACAAGTGGTTTGATGAATTATACCAAGAGAAGAAAAAAGACTGTTGCATTGGGTGTTGACAAATTCAAGACCATTATCAGACCTAATTGTTTTGACAAAAGCTGAAAATTGAGTTTTAATGAGAGTTAAGAAGGCTGTAATAAAAGTAACAACTTCACTTTTGAATCGTAACAGGAAAATCCAAGTCATTAACAATAGTAAGGAAAAATCTATGACCATTATAAGTGCATTGCTTAAAAAGTCCCCAAACATCCATGTGAAGTAGTTCAAAATGGGATACAGTTTTCTTATTACTAGAGGGAAAAAAGAGTCTAGTTTGTCTCGCAAGAGGACATATAGGACAAGAAGGAAAAACTGAACTTTGCATATGAGGCTTCAGAGATGCAATCTTCTGCAGTACAATATTAGGAGCATGACCAAGTCTCTGATGCCAGATGGAAGCTACATCTGGTAAAGAAGATGATGCATGTAATGCAGAAGAATGTTGGAGAATAGTGGCAGGTGATGGTTTCTTGGTGGATGGAAGTATGTAGAGACCTTCTGCTTCCTTACCAATCCCCCTCACCTTGCCATTGCAGAGGTCCTGAAAAAAATAGAAATCAGGATAGAAACAGACACAACAATTCAATTCCTTTGTGAGTTTGGAAATGGATAATAAATTGTAAGTAAAATGAGGAAGATAAAGGACATTTTTCACTTCAGTATTGGTAAAAAGTGAAGCAGATCCAGTGTGAGTGACTAGGGTGGTTTGACCATTTAGCAAATGTACTTGGTTAGAGTTTGAAGGAAAGAGTTGGATGAAGTAGTGTATCCAAACTAGAGACCATATGATGAGTGACTCCAGTGTCCATAATCCAAGGAGTTGCATCATCACCTGTAGGAAAACAAGAATTGAGTGTACTGAATGTTGAGGAAAGGTTATGATGTATACCTGCCATGTTGGCAACAGGCTCTTGTGATGAAGATTCTTTATCAATTAATTTCATCAAATGATTGTATTGATCAACAGTAAAACATGGTGCAAGCTGAAAATGTGGAATGTTAGCAGCAGGGTTTCTTCCCATGTCAAGGCCTTCAACACAATTCACCTTATTGACCTGAGCTCTTCTATTACCCTCAGAATTTTGTACCCTATTATTAGCATAGTTCTGTCCCCTGTAGCCCCTATCATCAACACCTTTCTTCCTTTGGAACTTGTAATTTTGTGGATAGCCAATCAACCTATAACAATTAGCTCTTGTATAGTTTCTTAGATGACAGTGATCACAGTATAATCCTCCTGTGTCTGGTTGGAATTTGTTGCTTTGTACTGAAGCTAAAACAGTAGGATCATGAACATCCAATTTTTTCAAAGGCAACACATAGTTAGATATCATGCTAGACTGCATTTTTTGGCTCTCATCTTGCATTATCATATTGTAAGCTTGATTCAAGCTTGGACTAGGAATAGTCATAAGAATCTGGCTTCTCGGCTGAGCGAAGCTATCACTAAGTCCCATTAAAAACTGCATAAGTTTTTGTCTATCCATATGTTCTGCATAAACTCTATATTTGTCACATTCACATGCTGGTAAAAGAACTAGTGACACATATTCGTCCCAAAGGTTTCTTAATCTAGAATAATATTCAGAAACAGTAAAGGTACCTTGACTCATGGTGCTGATTTCACGATGCAGTTGATATATTCTAGTCAAATTACTTTTATCAAATTTTTCCTTTAGATCCTTCCAGACACTATGTGCGTTGGATGAAAACATCAATCCATTTACCAGTTCTTTCGAAACTGAATTGGTAATCCACGATAATACAAAAGCATTACACCTCTCCCACTCATGTTCTAGATCTCCTTTGTAATCAGCCTTGCAACACTTTCCATCAATGAATCCAATTTTAGTTTTTGCTAAAAGTGCTACTTTCATAGAATTACTCCAACCAGTATAGTTTTCAATACCAGTAAGCTGTTGAGAGACTAAAATGCTATCTGGAGTATCAGACGGATGAAGGTATAGAGGATTTCTGGGATGAATGTCAGTAAACTTGTGAATTTGCTCTCGATTTGGAGTATTTTGCTCCTCCGATGACACGACTGTATTCACCATTCTTCGATCTTCTCCGGTGAGCTGATTTGCAGAAAAAATCTAAGGTTGGCGTTCAACTGTTCTTCCAATTTTGCAGTGGAATTTGTGCTCTCTGTATTAGCTAGATCTCCGTAATAGCCTGTTGCTCTGATACCATGTTGAATGTTATCATCTAGCCATTTGAGAGCAGTTTGTAGAAAGAGGGAAGAAGAAAAGGGAATATAACAATGAATTGATTTAACCGACTTAGTTCATCATATACAATGAGTTACTATTTATATACAATGTCTAACTAATCAGCAGTAATTAAACAACCTCTAACTGACTTAACAAACTCACTAACCAACTAATTATTTGCAATACTTATTTTAACACTATGAATACTTTTTCACTTTAGATTTGGATCTCCACTTATATATTCATTAGGACCAAAACTGTTCATTGATTTATTTAGCCCACACATCCATTCAAGTACTAGACTTCTTAAGATAAGTTTAAAAGTAAATGACTTATTTAATTCGTTTAAATTATTATGATTTGATCACAAAGTAATTTAAAATTAAACTATATTTTAACCAAGCATAATTCATTTTAAAAAAATAATTATCAGCTTAGTTCAATTGAATCACTAACTTCAATCTGCTTTATACTTTTGCTAGATGGCTTGAATTTTCTTCTTCACCAATAATTCTCTTTTTGCTAAAGATGGAATTTTTTTATGGAATGAATTGAGGATTTCTTGTTTTCCTTTGGTGTACTTATTTAGACTTGAATCTTGGTTAATATTTGAATTTATAGTAATTTTAACTTTAAATTCTTATGGTTTTTAGCATACATGTTTTCTCTGATTTTATTTTTTTATGGTTATTTAGATTGGTGATACTTGATGTGATGATCAAAGTTGAATCTTAAGATGTAGGATGTGATAACTTAGTTCAAATTTGAGTTCTCTATTTTTGTTTCGATAATTGTCTTTCAATCGGATTTTCAGTATTGATTAATATTTTGCTTCATCTGTTTTAATTTGATATAAAAAAATTTAAAATAATTTTTTTTGAATATGTGATTTTTTAAATTAAAAATATTTAGAATATGATTTTTTTTTTAATTTCGTGCTCTTAAATATGGCATGTGAAAAAAAAATTAAAAATTTGTCAGAAAAAATAAAATGTTTTTAAAATGAATTAAAAAAAAGTAGGAGAAACAAATTAAAATAAAAGGAGTATAATCTTCACTAATTTTTAACTAAAATGTTATGCAATTATAACAAATCTTTTTCAATGAATTATATTAGTATACGTATTGATTTTTTTTTATATTAGTAGTCCATATTAGTAGATTAAAAGGGTTAAATTGAATTATAATTTAATTTATTTTTAATTAATTTTAAAATGATTTTAATCAGATCATGACCCAACTTGGTTTTTAGTTCAAATTCATTCTAACTTATCTGATTTCAGCCTAAGTTACCTATTGGACACTCTGAACTAGTATTGAAATCTCAAAATTTGATACTGTAACTTCAATAATATGATATTTAATATGGTATTTGATATATATTTAAATTTTTCTTTATTTGATTTGATGTTTATAAAAAGTTGTTGAAGTTCCCATTTTACGTGACAATTTATATCCTAAATGATATTTTTCAAGTGTTATACTTCGTAAAATATGTTTGTCTATCTATTTAACTCTATATAAATTTAAAATATTTATTAATATACATCAAAACTTGACAAGTATAAACAATAACTAACAACAAATTAAAATACACATTTATATATTATGCCTTTGTACAAATTTAAAGCTAAAATTACTAAATAAAGGCAGTGTTTGGCCATAAATATACTTGAGAAAAAAATAATCTAAAAACTAGTGTTTGGTCATATAATTTGTCATAACTTGGCAAATATATTTAACAAATATCCAAAGTTCTCAAGTTTTGATATTTGAATTTTTTTAAAAATTACCCCAAACTTTTATATTTTATTAAAACACCCATCAATTTATAGTTTTCTTCTAAATTCCATTTCTAATTTTTTGTACAAATTTTACACGGTTATATACATATTTTATACAATTTTTATATGAACTTGATCTATGAAGTCACTTTGAATTACAAGTAGTAATATTTTTTCATGTACAAATCAATAGTATTTTCCTTTTGTATTCTTCCTTTTTTTTTTAGTTTCATAAGTATTAATTATGTTCGTTGTCATGACTTTTTACAGAACATTTTCATTATAAAATTATAATACAAACTCATGTGTATTTTTAATAAATTTTAAAACTAATAGTATAAATTTATTTTAAAAAAATAAATATTTCTTTTAAAATCTATGACATGTCAAAATTATTTAAAAAGTTTTCGATTTTACTACGTCATACCATGTTCATTCCTCGGCCACACTCTATATATCATGTTCTCGCAAAAACAGATTGTTATCCGTTCGGATGTGACATAGAAGACTTTTTAGTTCCTTAGCGCAGTGGATTTCTTTGGAAGCAAGAAATAAATTTTAATAATAAAAAAAGGCCAAAGAAATATCGGAGCTTGTCCACAAAAGGTAGTATAAAAAGCGATAGTTCTACACAAAACGTTTGTGTTTTCCAGTGAGAGAAGCGCGGCTTACGGTTACGCGTGGATTCATTGCGTGAGATTACTATCTTCTTCTTCTCCTGCTTCTGTTTCACCGTTTTTATCGCTCTATACTCTGTTGAATTGTTCTTCTTCAATTTCTAGGGTTAGGGTTTTGTTATCATCTGTTTTATATCGTATCTATATACTGATTTCGTACTTAAAAAGGTTCTGCGGGCTTACCTGGAACGATAATCTCTACTCGATTGTATACTGAAATCTCACTCTACCTAGCCATGGCTATGGAGTCATCTATTGTGATCAAGGTTAGATTTTCTGTTTTTTTTTGTTATTTATAAATTTGTCACCTTTTTTTGTTGCTAATTTATGTTACTTAGTTTCGAATTTGATGTAATGTTTGTTTAAGTGCTAAATATATGAGAACTTTACGATTATTTGTGCTTATCCAGTTTTAAGAATTGCTGTTTATTCAAAGTCATTCTACTTTACACATGCAAAATATTTATTTTTTTTTTGTAGAAATTTGTTGTTGGTAGAGTTAGATTTTAGGACTTTTTCTGTCTTCCCGTGTTGATTTGGGCTGGGCGAATTGTTTCTTGTTTTTTTTTTTGGTGGAATTGAATCCCATGTATAATTTTAAGTTTTGCGGGTGGTGGAACTTTCAATTTTGTAAGGACTATTTACATTTCTATACATCATAGTAGTTTTTTGAGAACATGAATTTCTTGTTATGTGTTCTTTATATTTGATAACCGTGTACCCGAGCATCCTACCAAGCTCAGGGAGCAGGTAACGCTGTCTGCTAAGACTGAGGACAAATTAGAGGAAATAACTAAATGTTTTTGCTTCCGCTAGGAGTTGAATATGAGACATCAGAACCTACTTTATTGACCACTGGTTTTTCAACTTGTGAAATGATAATTTTTGCTGAGCTATGACAGAGCTTCTGAGTTGGGTTTGGGGTTACCTCTCTTTTGTGTGGCCTACTTTATCACCTTTCATTATTTGCAGGTCAAGTATGAAGAGACACTCAGACGGTTCAATGCTTGTGTCATCAATGAGAAACTTGATCTTGACATTGGTGGATTGAGAGACAAGATTATTCAACTTTTCAATTTCGCTCATGATGCTGAACTCACACTAACATATATCGATGAGGATGGGGATGTAGTCACACTTGTTGATGATGAGGATCTGCAGGATGTAATGAGGCAGGACCTGAATCCCTTGAGAATATCTGCGAGGTTGAATGCTGGCGAAAGAAGCGGCAGAGCTTCAGCTAGATCTAGTGGAAATTCTACCCCTTTACGATCACCTCGGGTCCAGCCTCCATTCCTAAACTTGAATTCCCGTGTTTCTGACGTTCTCAAGTACATTCCAGAACCTCTGCGTGAATCTGTGATGAAGGTCTGTTCTGATATGACTGCATCGGCCTCATCCTCTGCTCCCATCCTTGCTGAGCTTGTTGATGCTATGTCTGAGATGGGGCTATCTTACTACCAAAATCAGGCTTCAGGGTCTCAGCCTGTCAAAGAAGCTGGCTCCTGTAGTGGCATATCTAAAGGAAATACTATGAGTGCTGATGGGGGATGCCAAATGTCAAAATTGGAGAGTCATCCCCAAAGAAGAATGGGCCTCTCACAGCATTACATGGTGAACCAAAACCTAAGGCCTCCAATGAAGCCGTAGATGCCTCAGTCAAGCTAGTATCTAAATCAGAAACTTTGGAAGGTGATCGAACTGAAGCTCTGTCATCATCATTCAAAGGTTCTAAAGCTCAGACTTCGCTGGTAAACAGTTTGGAGAAGGATAAGAAATTTGATGTTCGCAGTCTTGACGGAAGGACTATTGGCTATACATATGTGAGAAACTTGCCTATTCCACCAGAAAAGACTTCTGATGAGCAGCCCAGCAAGGGACATCCAGTAGCTAAGCCGGTTGATTTGGGTGGCTCTGCAAGTTCTAGTAAAGTGAAACAATGCAACTGGGATTCCCCTAGTGCAGATTCCAGTGGCAGTTCAATCAACATGCCTTATGATGGCTTCACTCCTTCACATCTAGTTCACCTGAACACCGTAAATGTTAATGATTCCCATAATGCAGGTTCCAGTGGCAGTTCAATGAAGATGCCGTATGATGGCTTCAGACCTGCTGTACGTCATCTATCTCCACTGATTCCTGTGAATGCGTGTCCGTTTTCTGGGGTGCCAACAGTAAATAACCCTATTCCACCTCAGAACTTCTCTTTTGAGGTCCCACTTAAAAGGAGCCATAATCACAGTGATGGGACTGGGACTATTTTCCATAAAGGTGTTCGCTGTGATGGTTGTGGGGTTCATCCGATAACTGGACCTAGGTTCATATCTAAAGTGTAAGGACCCTGTTATTGTATTTATTTGTTGTTTTTATCTGAGCTGACATT